ATCATCTGCTTGATAATATGTGTGCTCAAGGCTACAGAAAATACTGGAAATGGTGGTGATGTCAGGCAGGAGACAGATGCCTTGGTTCTGGAATCGTAAACTCAGAGTTGTAAAGAAAATGCAAACCTTGCAACGTGCACAGGGGCCTTCCAAAACCCTCTCTCACCTCTCTCTTCCCAAGGGAGTAATTCCCTCTTGACTGTCTGGAGCTACTGAAGTCAGCAGCACCCCTGGGTCTAAGTCATGCTCCTCCACTTCCTCTTTCTTGTCATGTGGAACAAATTTTTCAGCTTCTCTAAGCCTCAGTTTTTTTGTTATTTAAAATAGGAACACAAAAAGATTTTTGCAAGATTTACAGGAAGTGAGCCATATAAAGCACTTAGCACTGAATAAATTTATTCCTATTATATTCTTACTGTTCTGATCACTGGCAGGGTTGTGTATGTGGCCAAGGAAGCAGTGTCTCTGAAGACTGCATGTGTGCACACCTGGACTATAAGAATTGGGCCTGTGCACTGTCCAGGACAGAATGTAGTTGTGTGGGTGCATGTCTCATGCAGTCATCTAATCTAGGAATGAGGGCACGAAGGTCCAAACTTACCATATAGGCTATCTTCAGGGAATCCATTCCAAGACCCCATGGGATGAAATGAAGTGAATGACGAGGTGAATGAAGAAGGCCACAACAAGGGTCTCTTCAGCAAGGCACTGTTGTACCTTGGCAGTCAACCGGGTAACAATGATGGTTGCTAAGTGTCCAGCAGGTGGGTCACATATATAGCACAGATATGTTGGACAGAGAGACAATTCATGTCCCTGGCAGGATACAGTGGGACAGAATAGACTTTATCACACTGCTATATAGAGTGTATAATTTAAAACTTAACGTCTATTTCTAGAATTCTCCATTTAATATTTTAAACCATGGTTGACCTGGGGTGACTAAAACCTCCAACAATGAAACTGAAGATAAGGAGGGTACTGCTGGACATCATTTTAGCACCAACAGTGCCCAGCACATGGTTAATCTGTGGTGCTCTGTCTACACTGGCTGTATGAATGAATAGGCCAGTCTTCCAGCCCAAGCTTGAGTCCCAGCCTTAACAGTTCTGCAGGGACGGTCATGCTAATGTCTCCAATTGTCTTCAGGAGGCAGCAGAGCTGGCAGTGAACATCCTGAACTCCAGTCACCTTCTAATCCTGGGGCTACCAAGTGTTTGGGTGCAGAACTTCAGGCAGGTTATTTAACTGTTTTGAGCCTTGATTTCTTATTAGCAAAACAGGGTTGGTGGTGACAATATCACCCATAGATATGACTTATTTCCCCTAATTACTTTGGAAATTCTTTGAAGGTACAGATAATTATTTTGCTAGGTCTTAAGCATGGTGCAAGGAACTAAGAAGATGATTATTCATTTGGTCTATGGGTTTTCTGAAGCCCTGCTTGCTGGAACTACAGGTGTGCTCCACTGTGCCAGGTTCAATTTTTATTTTTTTTATAACTTCATAGCTATAGTAACATGGTATGTAGGATGATACTAATTTTCACAGGAGGATTTCCAAACAGAGGTGACTTGAGACCAAGAGAAAACGGGAGCAATATGTTGGTCAATGTGTATATTGTTGCTCTAACTTCTCTTGACTCAAGGGACCAAGAACTTCCTGAACATATAGTTGATAATTACAGCAACAGCAGTTACTATACTTAAAACTGACAGTTTATAGCCCTGGCAAAAGAACATCTTCTAGGAGGCAAGTATTGGGGTATCAGTTGTACAGATGGGGCTAAAACTAAGAGAGATTGGATTAAAGTGTCCAAGATTAAAGTTATTTAGCAGCAGATGTAAAGTTTGACCCAGGTTCATTCTGACTCCAAGAGCTACTCTCCTGCCACCACTACTGCTTTCTATTTATCCAACAATGTTTGAATAGCCCCTAAACACTAAAAATGCTAACACTGTAGAGGAAGAACATAGCCAGGGGGTCCCTAGGCCATCATTTGGGGAGGTTGCGGCCTGTCTTACACAAAGGTGACTGGTCAAGGAGGTGAGCAGGGCTGAAATAAACCAAGCTCAGCATTTTCTAATTTGCACAGAGGTTAAAATGAAGGCCCAGGAGTCAGGAGCTAAGACAACCTGTTGCTCTATGCCACTGTTTGGAAAATAGGAACAGGAAATTTTTCAAGGTGTCTTGGGAGTAGGCCTTGGGTTAGCGGCCTCTATACAATCTGTTATAATTATAGTCATAAGAGCTTATACATATTAGTTGAGTGAATGTCATTTAAATTAAATATTTAAATATCCCAATAACTCAGTAATGTGGGAAATATATAGTCTGCTGAATATGAAAGCTTAGCACTTAATTTGTATTAGTTTCAAATTAAGAAAAAGCTCTGGAAGGTCAGCAATTTAGGATTTTCTGTTCCCATCCCTGCAGCAGAATGCTCAACACTCCCTTCAGCTGTCAGATGATCTTCACAAAGAAGACAAAAATGGTATTATTGTCCCCTTTTACAAATTAAGACATGCAGGCCCTGAGAGGGTGGGCCATTTGCTCCAAAGGACTGACCACTGGTTCCTCTTTCTACTATACCACCCTCTCCCAAAAGAGTTTATCAAGTCCAGTCTAGACTTGTTATTAATAGAGTCAGAAAAACCCAGTTATTGTGTGCTGAACTCTAGGCTTTCCAGTGCGTCTTTGTTCTTAATGAAGACAGAAAAAAAAAAAACAGCTATTGTGTCCCTAAGCCTAGGCCTTTCAGTGCCAATGGTATGATACTATCCTTCACCTTTATTTTCCTAGGATTGAGATAGAACACTTTTGGGAGACAAGTGGGGTGAATGCAAGTCTGGCTGTGTTTCAATTATTACCAGAGAGAGACTGTACATTGAGAAGCTTATAAGCCATGTAGTTGCCATATTTTAAGAATACTTTTGGGGCCAGCAGCACTGGGAGATTTGGGCCAGAGGTCAAGAGTGGTAGAGTCACAGCACAGTAAGTCATTCTGGTCCTGGTGGTTTGACAATGAATAGACAGTGGCAACAATAACAAACCCTATACTTACTAAGTGTATGTAGTTTACCAAGGATTTGGCAGGTATTGTCTCATTTAGGAAATAAAATGCCCCAAAATAGAACTTCAAGAAAATAGCAATTTCAGAAAAAAATCTGTAAAAAGGGGAAAAAATGCAGAGTCTGGGAATGGAGATAGTGTTCCAGGTAAACTGTAAGATTTATATTAAAAGGACTGAGAGCCTGCCTATTGGTGGCAGTGACCAACCCAGCCACCTTACATCTACTGGGAATCCACGCTCTTTGAGTCACCTTCAGATCACCTGCCTCTACCACAATCAACTAAAATAGAGAAAATAGATTTTAAAATAGTGCAAGTTTTGTAGTCTTCCAGGAGAATTTTGTCATACTACTTTCTAATGACCCTGGCATTTCCTATCAGGGAGGTTGGGACTAAGTCTCAACCTCTGAGAGCCTCTGCATCTTCATTTGTAAATACTGGGCTTTTATTATATGAATGCTAGTTATAATATGTGTGATGTTGCTTAAATACTTATACACATTCTAGGTGTCTTAGCAAGGGTTGAGGAAGGAGAGAAGGGAGAAGGAAAAGGAAGAAGAATCATTGACTACACTTTTTATATTTCCCTGGTATTATTTTTCAGGTTCGGGTTTACAATGCTTTAGTAAATGGTAAAATTAAGAGCATTCTTCTACAAATTTCTTCCCTGAGCTTTGCTAATTAAAAATACCATCAATGTTCTAATTAGATCACTGACATTACTTTTAAATAATTACAAAGGATATTAAGTAACCATGTTGAAGGACATGTTAACATTACTTCAAAAATGTAACTCACTGTGACTCTGAGGTTAGTACTAATTGGTAGAAATAGTTGTAAGGAGAATAAGTTATGTTTGTGGGACAAATGGGGAATCTGAGGCTCCTTTTCTGAAATACGGGGTCTATCAGAGCATATAGGAAGTGAAGCAAACTAGCAGGGCCATCCAACTTAACACATTCAGTGGCATTTGGAGCTGTGGTGGGGAAAACAGGCTCCCTTGTTAATTTCACACTTCCCCTATACATTTCAAAAAACAAGGTGTGACTCCACAGCTGGATTTCAAAAAGATCTTCAGGGGGCTAAATGCCAGGTATTCTTACAATACTCCCTGGCTTTCAGGAATTTTCCATTTTCTGGCATCTGTTTGCTATGGAGACTCCAAATCTGCTCAGTTAAAGCAGGAAGAGCTTTATACTTTCTTGAAGGATCTTTCCTTCTCCTAAGTCTCTGGGTTTACTGGAGCTGCTGGTCTTTGCCATCAAGTAGAGACTATTCAGGACACGTCTGAATTCTACAAAACCAGGGAAAACCTGCCAGAGTGCAAGCAACCGCTGCGTGTCTTCCGTGTGCTAGCCTCCCAGCAGCCCTAGGAGTTGATATTGTCGGCTTTTGACATGGGGGGAATCAAGGCTCAGAGGAGCTGCCTGTCCCACAATCATGCCCCTTCTCTAGCAATATATCCCATCTATTCTGAAATAGCCAGGTCTGGATGAAGTGGCCCAGCGGCCCTCTCAGGCACTCTCCTCTCCTCCACCAGGGCCTTCAGCCACTTGCTGCATATGCCCAGGTTTGTTTTCTTTGGCTCCTCATTAATGAGTTCCACAGGACAATGCTAAGTCTAGTTATGCAGCCTTAATTGGTTTAGTTACAACAAGATAATTCCTTTTTTCTTCTCTTGGAGGCCTTTCTGTTTAAAGACATTTTAGCTGGAGGATGCTAATTATCAATGAGGAGAAAGTGACACCTGAAGAGTTCATTTTCCATCTTGGTCCTTGGTTTTTCCTTTGAACTCCCTCCACCCGGCCCTCTCTCCCACTTCATCACTTCTCCCCCACCACCATAAAAGAGAGCTCCTCTCTGGCTGGGCGGCAGAACTTTCTTTCTCACTCGCCAGGGAGTTGTTCCCTGCGCAGCTGTCTCGGGGCATGGACGACCTGCAAGAGACCTTCCTCAGCCTCGAGGATGGCCTGGACTCCTCGGACAGCCCCAGCCTGCTGTCCTCCTGGGACTGGAAAAACAGGGCCGGGCCCTTTGAGCCGAGCCGGGCCTCCCCCTCCCAGAGCCTTTCCCCAGCTCCATCACTGGAGTCCTATTCTTCTTCCCCCTGTCCAGCTGGGGCTGGACTGCCCTGTGGCCATGGCGGGGCCAGCAATGGGAGCAGCAATGGCTGTAGCAGCCACGGGGCCGGTGGCCTAGTGGAGGTGGACTACAATATGTTAGCTTTCCAACCTGCCTACCTACAGGGCCCTGGTGGCCCCAAGGCCCAGAAGGGCCCCAAAGTCAAGATGTCCGTGCAGCGGAGACGGAAGGCCAGCGAGAGGGAGAAGCTCAGAATGAGGACCTTGGCTGATGCCCTGCACACCCTTCGGAATTACCTGCCACCTGTCTACAGCCAGCGAGGCCAACCGCTTACCAAGATCCAGACACTCAAATACACCATCAAGTACATCAGCGAGCTCACAGACCTCCTCAACGGCGGCCGAGAGCCCAGGCCCCAGAGTGTGTGAGCTCTACCCCTGGGGCATCTGGCCAGTTTTAGTCTCCCTGGGGAGAGTAAAGGAGCTTTAAAGACCTGGAGTATCTCTTGGGACAACAGCATAGAATTATTTGTGTATAGTTAGTGTGGTAATCTTGTCATCTGAGAAGTTCTGAGGGATTCCCGTCTGACTCCCTGACGCAGCCAGAACACCAACCTGCCGCACAACAGAAACTGTTGCTTCCAGTTTTTCCTACCATCTCTCAGGATTCTCATCCTTTGCAAAGAGACAGATTGTTTTGTCCTTCTGTGTTTGTTCAAGGTATTCTAAATGGTTACTGCATTTTAAATGCAGTTTTTTTTTTCAATAAGATAAAATAGTTACAATTAATCTTCTGCCATTTGGTGTTGGGAGCTTTCTTTCTGTTGTTAATTAAGCTCGAATGTTGTACAGGGTCCAGTGTGACACCTGGATTCTTGCTTAGAAAGTTTTGTGCCAAGTAGAGGTAGAACTCTCCTGTTTCTGTGTGTGTGTGTGTGTGTGTGTGTGTGTGTGCGTGTGTGTGTTCAACAGAAGTTATGCCTTTACTTTTGATAGGATCAAAATCACTTAAATGCAGAAGGAATTGCTGTGCTGTTATGGTAAATAGGAAGTCAGAGGCAAATGGTCCAGTTAAGACAAAGTGAAGATCTTAAAGAGCAGAGCCCCTGTCTTGAGGCATGAAAAAGAAGTCTGTGCCCACTGACACCTGTGTGCCAGGGAATGAGGGCACAGAAAGAAGGAGAAGGCTGAGGAGGCCCAGCACTGAGAGTCCTGCAGCAGGACTCAGAGTGCAGAAGCTCCCGGTCTCAGGCCTGGTGTGAATATGACCCATATGACCCGTTTATCCCTTCATTTGCTTATTTCTCAAATGAAGAGATTGGCTTGGGAAAAAAAATTCCATAGGTAATAAGTGAAAAGCTCAGAAATGGTAACTCCAGCCTGTGTTGAATCCCTCCAGAGGAAGTTACTTGTTCACCAAAATCTCCTGCCTTCCTCCTCAACCCCTTCCTCCACCTCACATGCACCCATGCTCAAATGTTCAACTCTATGAGGTCCATGTCTTGGGGGTGTCTGTAGCATCCCAGTTAGGCTAATTTGAATGCACAGGACAATGAGAAGGGACCTTGATTTAAAGGGGTCCCCCCAAACCACTGGACTTTTGTAAGGCTGTCTTTTTTTTTTTTTTGCTATGATTATTAACCATCAGTATCTGTTTTCAGGTTCACAATTTCATGTATAACTCCCCCTACATTTTTTCTTGACTGATATATATATGTACAAGTAAATATAAACATATATACATTTTAGAGTACTTTTAATTCTGCGAATTATTTTTTTTTCTCAGCAATTTGCAGTAAAAATTATTCCAAGTTAAGGCAAATAAATCTGTGATGTAAGTACCATTATTATATCTATTTTATATGTGGGGAAGTTGAAGCATGACTTTTCCAGAATCTCACATGTGGAAAGTACTGTGGAAAGCCGAGGCTCCAACAATGTTCCCCAGCCCAGGCCTTCATAATTTCTTTAATGAAGCATCTTTGGAATGACATTTAAGTCTTTTTCATGTTTTTTATTGCCCCCAAATGCTGTAATGAATATTATAGACAATTATCTTTGTCCACTGGTATTTTAATTACTCTGAAAAATTCCTAGATCAGAGGGTATATACACTTAAAATTTTTAATAAACACTGTTGGATCACTTTCACTGAAGTTTGTGGTTACTTACATTATATCCTATTAATATCATGAGACAGACCATCTGTCCCACATTGCCATTAGATATTATCAATCTTAAGAATTTTTAATGGATAAAAAATGGTTTCATCATTGTTGTGTTCATTTTTATTTTCCTATTTATTAATTGAGATGGAACATATTTTTAAGTTTATGTGACTATTATTCATTTTGACTCCTCTTTTATAATTTGGCAGTTTATGTTCTTTGCAGTCTTCCTACTGGAGTCTCGTCTTGTTAATTTAGGAGAGTTCTTTGTACAATATATATGTTAAAGTACTTCCTTACAGTCTATCACTTTAGCATATTCTTTCTTATGATGTAATACATAGGAGGTGGTATCTTTTGCTCTTTGAAGCGTTTAATTTTTTTTATCATCAAATCTCTGTTTTGTTTTATGACTTATATGGTTTTTCCTTTTGCTTTATTTTCCCAATTCCAAAGCTTTTCAATGTTCTCCTGAGTTTTTCAAATTATTTTTATAATTTTAGGTAAATCTTTAATATACCTGTAATTTACTTTTCTCTATAGTGCGTGGAAGGAATTTAACTTTATTTCTGACTGTGTTTTTATAATTGAAGAATATTTTATCTTGTCATCAGGGGGTAATAGGGGTCATAGTTTTTAATGTCATACTACTTATAAAAACTTCATTAGCTTTCCATCTATTCATTTTTGGTGGTGTGGAGAAGAAACGAGGAAACATTGGGCAATGTCGATACTTTCTCCCAGGAGACTCTACCCTATGCATGTATAGTATTGTGTGAGTGTATGTATATGCACATGTGCATGTATTTGTGTGTGTGTGTGTGTACACATGCATTTGTTTATGTGTATACTGTGCTTTTATGTGTTAGAGAAGGATGAGTAGGGAGAATGGTAATGTGGGAGTGAGGAAGAATCAGCTAGTCCAAAAATTAACTTGAAGTTAAAATGCTATTTTCTTTGACATTTTCAAACAAGTGAGACCCAAATAATCTTGGCTTTGATTTTTCAAGCTCGGGTTGAAGAATGGTTTATAAATAGCTTGGGAAGTTTTGATTGTCCTGGGGGGACCAAGTACTGTGGATGAGTTAGGAACTACTGTTCTCACTTTTTGAAAAAATCCCTCAAAGTCACAGACTTACCTGTTGCTAGGTTTGCCCACAAAATTTCTATGGGACACACTGGATGATGGGCATTTGGAAAACCAGGAGAAGATGGCAGCTTTGGGGAGGAAACATCTGCCCAGAAATCTTGTCTCATTAATACCACTGAGTCCTCCCCAGATGCCTGCCTGCAGCCCAGCCCCTCCCCTGGACAGAGGCTGAACAGAAGCATTTGACCCCTACAGCAATGATTCCCAAAGAAGCTGCTTCCTGTGTAAGGGAGGAGGGCCGGGCCAGGCCTTGATTCCTCTAGGGAGTGCTTAAAAGCATTTGGCTTGGGCAAAGCTCAAGAATAGGAGTAAGTATTTCTGGTGTTTGGATGGGGAGAGAATGGCAGAACCATAATCCATGTGCCTACTGTGTCGTGGTCAGTATTTCCAATTTATTCTTTCATAGCCCTCATAATAATGCTGGGAGGTGGGAATTATCATTCCTATTTTTAGGATGCGGAAACTGAGGTTTAGGATGGTTGAGCAAAGTAAAGCCACATGGTTTGCTAGTGAGTTCCGCTCTCCAAAACTTGGATTCTTCACCTGCACGTGCTGCCTGGTTAGCTCCAAGGACGCACTGTTCACTGGGCTTGGCCTGAGAGAGCGCTTTCAGCACAGCTCAGTCCTGAGGCTCAGACCTTCTCTCTCTCTCTCTCTCTCTCTCTCTCTCTCTCTCTCTCTCTCTCTCCCTCCCTCCCTCCCTCCCTCCTTCCCTCTGGGGACCTAATTTCTTTCACCAACTGAAACATTTGGAAGGGCTGTTTATCTCACCCTCTAAATTATTTCCCTTTGAACTTCTGCCTCTGCCCTGAATGTTTCCTCAGAAATTCCCTTTGCTTCCTCTGCTGGCACCTAGAGTCTTTCTTAATCTGCAGAGGAAATCTGACTTCTGTTCATTTGTGTTCAATAAAGTGTTCCACAATTCACACCAGGTTGAGGTTTCTTTGTTCTGCTTGTAGTTTCTGACACATGAGCTAATCAGGAGTGAGGCCAAGGCAGGGGGCGGGGGATCCTGGGCAACTCAACAAGTTGACAGAATTACTCTGATGTTAAAATATATATATATATATATATATATATATATATATATATATATTAAAACAGCAAGGGCTGAGGATATAGCTCAGTTGTAGAGTACTTGCTAGGTTTAATCCCCAGCACCACAAAAAAATAGAAAGAAAAAATTATAAACAGCAAAAGAAAACATATGCAAATACGCTTGTGCTTTCCAGGTTACACTATTATTACACTATTTTCTATTACACAGGCTTAGTGTGTTATATCGCCTAAGTTGAGGTACCATTTGATCCCTGACAATTTCTGTACATACTTGAGTTTGTGGGAGGGATCCAGGCCTGGGCCCCCCGTGGCCTTGAGCCCTGTGAGCTTCAGCCTGGCTGTTTTGAAAGGAACCAGAGCTGGCTGCTCCCTCCTACCCTGGTGGGAGCCTGAGCAGGCCTCTCTTACCAAGGAAATACCTGAGCTGCCTGAAGGACTGGATCTTGATATTCTGGTCCCAGAAAGGCCCTTGAACTCTGAACAAGAAGAAAGCACAAAGATTTCTGAGAATTGTTCAGGAAATGGACAGCTATTTGTTTGTCTCTGGGATTTGGAAATTGTCGACCTCCCCCTCTGGTTATGCTGTCTCCTCTGACTTTTGCTTCTTTTCAAGGTGAAGTGGAAGACTGGGCAGGGCTGGAGGTCAGGGACTACAGGAGAAGGATGTGTTTAGAAGGGGCTGCCCTGGTGAGGTGCAAAGCAACCCTGTCTCTAAATGACATACAAAATAGGGTTGGGGATGTGGCTCAGTGGTTGAGTGCCCCTGAGTTCAATCCCTGGTACATGACCTCCCTCAAAGAAAGAAAGAAAGAAAGGGCTGCCCTGGCTATTCTCAGCCCAGGAAACCAGGGGTAGATTTATCCTTTGATGTGTCCCTTGCTTGAGATCACATTTCTTTGCCCAAGGTCATGCTACCTTGCCCAAGATCACATAATTGGGGCAGAGCCACCCAGGTCTGCTTGACCCATTTCTTCAACAACGCTAAGTCTATGTGGCTGAAATGCAGCAAAGAACAAAACTATTGACATTACCTGTTCAAGCCTTTCCCATGA